TTTTTTTTTTACCTTTTTCTTATAATACTTGCCCATTATTCCAATAATAACTAGAATCCTCTATCCCCCCATCTGGAAATTGCATCAGGCACGGCCCAATGATGAAATGCATGTGTATTACTTAGTATTAGAGAGCTTCAATTGTTGGAGCAGCGCTAAGTGACGGATTGATCATCCGTCATTTATTAAGATTATTTATCCGGTTTTTCGTAGCTATTCGTTTTTATCCAGATTGTCAATAAAGTGCTCAGAATATCAATTGGGAAGAGAACTAAAGATTCTGGAACAACTAGCGTTTTGAAACAAAAGTATATTTCTTTTGCCCTAAATGATATTTCCTTGGAGCCAAGTGGAACATTTAAAGATAATATTTCTGCCAATTTTTTTTTCACTCCACATTTACATTATCTCAAAGCTGACTCTATTCCAACAGTTCAAGCTCTCGACTATTTTAATAGTTTAGAGCTTTTGTTAATAATGCAGACTGTAGTTTTCAGTAGTAGTATAATATTCATCATGGTACAATATACAGTTTTTCTCCCTTATGCTCAAACAATTCAGAAACTAGATGAATTAGAGAGGTTTCGCAAAACCAGGATTCCTGATCCTAGTCCGAAGTCAAACGCGGACTGGGACGTGGACCAAGAAAACGATAGAAGAGCTTTCGCACGCTGTCTTGGTCTGCAGTCTGGTTGAGTGTAGCGCGATTATTTGTGCCAGGTGAGGTGCGTCAATATAATGGAGATGGTGATCTTTACTTGAGCGGGCACATCGAGGTCATTCGCTTATCTGCCTGGGCTGCAACATGGACTCCGAGACTTCGAAGAGACGGGTAAGTGTGGCACGCCTCTTATACCGGGTACCCGAGTTCGACGCGTCCGAGTCCGATACTCGAGATGGATTTGTTCGCGAAGAAGACAGCCAAGACCAGTATGGATCGCCTAGCTTTGGCAGCTCCTACCTCGATGAAGACTCCACGTCGGAGGGAAGCAGAGAGGGAAGCGACTCAAACGAACGTGCTCCGCGTTTGAATGACAGCCGTTCTGAAGCTAGAGATGATGCGGAATCACCCGAGCAGCGCCCATCCAGCAATGCCGTGCCACCTGAAGATATTCCGAGCAAGTCGAAGCGCAAGAAGTTCACCAATGTGGATGATGTCGCGTTGCTTCGGCAAATCCAGGCGGATATGCCATTAAGGTAGCCAAAGGCGGGGTGATGGCGAGTTGGGATTCACTCGCCAACAAACTAAAGACGCTCAAAGATTTCTCCAAGAAGGACACCATCTCAGGGAAATCTGCGCAGGCAAGATTCAACACGCTCGTGGCTTCTCATCGCAAGTTCGACAGGAAGTCAGAGGGCGCGTGGGGCATTGATCAGCGCTACGCGGAGAAGAGACAACTGCTCGATGACCTTGTTTCGCAGTTCGATGAGCATGAGCGAGATGAAGGTCGTTGTATTCGAGAGCGGAAGGATAAGCTCGCGGCAGAAGAGAACGCAGGCAAAGTTATGCGGGACGCTGGCCTGAAGCGCATGAAGGAGCGTAAAAAGAAGGCGAGGACCAAGCTGATGCGGACAAAAGTGCCAAGCGTTACAAGCCCAGCGTCATTGACTTGATGCGCGAAGATATGCAGGCTGACCGAGAAGAGAAAGCCAAGCAGTGGGAAGCAGACAATGCAGACAAGTACAAGCAGTGGCAAGAAGAAAGAGAGGATACCAAACAGAGCGTAAGCTTCGCCTACAACTTGCGCAGATGGAACATGATCGAGTCCGCATGGAAAATGAACGTCTTGAAAAGATGTTACAGCTAGCCCAGCTACAGGCCCAGAGTCATTCTAGTCCTGGACATAGTTGTCGTGGATGTCCAAGCCCAGACCAGCGTCAACTCTTCTACGGTCGTGACTCTTCACGCCACGCTATCAGGCTTCTCGTGGCGGCAGCGACCACTTCCTTGAAGACTGACGTGGGATCGGCTAAGGTAGCTCCGCATGGTGGGTGGAGTCATCCCGAAGTACTGACAAATCTGGTTTCCTCCACTCCAGCAATTGTGGCAATTTGTTAGTAGCATAGCTACCTTAACAAACTTTCCAACCGGTTGCAAACGAGCTTTCTGCTGTTTTTTGAAGTCGATGTACGCCCACAGAGTCTTCATCTCCTTAAAGTTCCACTCAACGGACTGGCGTACGCTACTCATTTCATTTGTTAAATGCTGCTTCAGCAGGGTCCGTAAATTTTCCCTTGAAGCCGCACAGAATGAAGCACTGTACTCGATAAGTAGGATCACCATAGATAAACCTACCAGCAAACATCTCCGGGTGATTACGAAAAAACTCCAAGAGTTTGCTCGAGTACAGCATGGCGGTGTCGTGACGTCGCCCCTCTATCAGCCCCCAAAAATGAAAGCACATACCGTCCGGCGCTGTGACGCCCTGGTAATTGAAGCAGTGAAGGCGCTTGTGTCCATTATAACACTGACGCTACAGGTTCTCACCTCAACGGCGGCGGTGGCGCCGAGGAAAAGGACGACATATCGTCACCTTCGTCCCATCTGTGACGGGGTCACACAGCACCTTGTGCAGAGGAAGTTGACTTCC